TCAAGGCAGCGGCTGGGCCCAGGTTGCATGAGGGGGGCTGCCTCCCTGTGGGTGATCACGTGGCCTCCCTTCGCTGTGGGGGCATCAGAGGGGAGCGACACAGGCCTGTGGGTTCCAAGATGACTACATGTTGGAAGGGGACCTCTGGTTTGGTGCTTCACCCATGCACTAACCTGGAAACAAACGGCCTGAACATCCTGAATTCTTTGAAGGCATTGCCCTCCCCCGCAAAGGCGCCAGTCTCACCGAAGCTCCACAAAACGAAGGAGACCCTCCCTGAATGCTGTGCAGGCCTTCCAGTCCTGCGCCTCCTTCAGAAATGTCCTGGGGAGTCTCAGCAGGAAGACAGGCGCTGAGGAGGAAACGCCAGGCCTGCAATCGCTGTGAGGAATCCCTCTATTTCCCCATCTCAGAAACAGACCCACAAACCCTATGCTTTGTTACCCTATGCAAGGTAACAAATGGGAAAGACTGAAAATTTGAAGGACGGGACAGGGGCCGTGGTCCAGGTCCTAAGTGGGTGATTATGAAAGCCCCCCACCCAGCCCCTTCCAGTGACGCCCAGTCTGGAGGCAGGTATTCGCCGAGCACACGGGTGAAAGGGAGTGGGAAGTTCCTCCTACGAGTCATCAACAATATCTGACAGAGAAGGGAGCTGAGAAAGCCACAGCAGCCACCGGTGTACATCTATCTCCAATAAACCTGTTTCCAGCAGAGGCCTTAATAACCAAGCAGATAGGCGATCTGCGCCCTGTTTCCAAGCAGAGCATCTCATCAATAACCCAGACGCAGATAATATGCCAACACCTGCTGTGCCCTCCCAGACAAGCGTGACCTCGGGGGCTCCTGGTCATCTCGCCGCGGACGTCATCGAGGCTCATCAGGGCTCCGGAACACTGTAAGCTACAGTAAATAGTCCCAGGATGCAAACTCGGGGGGGGGGGGGGCCCGCAAGGGTTAGATCTTCAGGAACCATCAGAAAGACTATTTCTGCAAGACATAAGGGAATGATTATAATGATTTATTAAAACCTTACAATGTGAGAAAGTAAGATCTGCAAACAAAATCCAATTGAGGAATTCACCAAATAAAAAGGAATTGCACTCCAACAGCTTGGGGTTGACAAAGAAGCCATCCAGTAAAAAGCTTTCTATGCTAAACTGAGCTGGGTTAACCTAGTCATTTTCCACGCAGAGCTGTTCTTAAACGAGCTATTTAACTTCATCCATCTCTAGGATCTAAAAGGCTGAGCATTTAGACTGGTGGGGTTTTAAATTTAAATTCCAAATTTAAAAGGAATTTACCTCAGAGGTGGCACTGAATGTCTTTAAGCGTTGATTAACGCGATGTTCACAGTAAGGCAGTATCCTTCTCCAGGCCTCCTCTTCTTCCCCCTCCCCGTTCCCTGCAGCCCCTTCCCTTTCTTTCCCTAATTATTTCCCCCCTTTCGGTTTTCACTGCCTCTCTTCCAGATCAGCCAACCTTCTTTCTCCCTACCAAGTGAGTTTCATTTATTGCATGTGTTTCTGTATCTATAGCCTGTTTGTTTAAATACGTCCATTTTGTTATTTCTTATTCTCTGGAATTTATTAATGAACATTCTCCAGGCTCTCAACATCTCAAACACATAGGCGGGAGTATCTCAAAGCTGTCTTCTGACTCTTAAAATCCACATCCAAAGGATGCCTTAATCTGAGGTCCTCGGGCCTGCCCCTCCCCACTCCCTGGAAACTGTCATGGAGCCCCTAATTCTGCTCCAAGGCCAGCTCTTACTACTGTTACTCAGTCCCATCTGCGCTGCCCACACGGGTAACGAAGTCCTCCTCTTTCCCACAGCTTCCTCCTTTGACTTCTGCGCATGAGTCATTCCTCCTTTTTCTCTCTCCTTCCCAGCCTTCTTTCCATAAGTGCTGGTGTTCACTGGGATCCTGGGTTCAGCCTTCCTCCACGTGATTTCCCCAGAAGTCACCCGCTTTCCTGCTCTAGTGACTCCCCAACAGTTCACCGCTGCCTAAGACCAATCTCCTGACCAGCGACCAGGGCACAGCTCACATTCACATGTCTAATAACACTGGACCCTCCACCCCTGACCCTCACCTGCGCTTCCTGTGAGAACAAAGCCTTCAGTCCAGAACCGGACCTCAGCTCAGTCTCCACTCTTCACCTCTCTCCGCCCATGGGACAGGAAGCCAGCCGGAGCCCTGCTCCCCTGCGGTTCGTCTGAGCGGCCATCTCCCCCAGGCTGCGCCCTCCTGCTTCCAGGGGAGCTACAGGGTTGCTCCACCTCAGGTGGTGCCACCTCTATCACACAGCCACCCCCATGTTTCCCAGTCTACCAGCCGTGCACGCTATTCGCAGGCTCCCAAATGCACAGAGCTATCGCACAGTCCTGTCTCATCTCTGTTGGGAGAGAGGATGTGCTCCCTCTTCCCCTTGGCTGGAAACTCCTGAAAGTTGATTTCAACTGTCATCTGCTCCTTAAAGCCTTCTGTTATGTAAAGAAGGTTTGTGCTCCTCCCCCACCCCATACACATGTTGACACCCTAACCCTGCCCAGTGTGTCTTTGGAGATGGGCTCTCTAAGGAAGAAATTACGTGACGTGAGGTCATAAAGACGGGGCTTGACCCAAGAGGATTAGTGTCCTGGCAAGATACCAGGGTTCCTTCCGCCTCTCTTCTTCCTTCGCCTCCTCTTCTCCCCCCACCCCCCTGAGTTCAGGCACTAACAAATGGGCCCACGAGGGTGAGAACATAGCAAGAGAACAACTGTCTGCAAGTCAGGAGGAGAGATCTTACCAGAAACGAGCCCCTCTTGGAGCTTAATCTTGGAATTTGCAGCCCCCGGCACTATGACAAAATTCTGTTGCACAAGTCACCGAATCTGTGGTGCTTTGTCACAGAAGCCCAACGGTCTAGCGCCCCTTCCTCAGCCTCCCTGGGGTGAGCTGGTCCCTCTCCTGAGCTCGCCGCCCACCCATCTGCTGCGGCAGCCACCACCTTGCAACACCAGGCCAGGAGTCCATCTTTCTCCCCCTCTAACCGTAAACGCCTCGAGGGCAGAAATACAGCTTATTCATTTTTTTGTTCTTTTTCCTCCTGAAATCTGATTATGTCCCCGACATGTCTAGCACAGTATCCATCCAGTGCAATGTTCAGTAAATGTTGGCGAAATTGGTTAATGGATTAGCAAATTGAATGAGTAAAGCTGAATTTCTGGCTTGGGTCTCAGTCCGCCTGTGTGTTCATG